TTTTTTTTTTTTTTTTTTTTTTTTTAAAGCCCAGGAGCTAATGAGAAGCTCATTGTAGACGGGAGGAGGCTAGTGCTGGCATCAGTTATTCAGGACATCATCTCCCTTGGGAGCTATGCTGGTTCCAGCAGAGGAAGGCTCCTGGAGTGCTCGGGACCCTCTGATTTGTGTGTGGTCACTTCCCTCAGAGGCTGTCAGGTTGTCGGGAGGTACTGAATTGGAGGCAGGTTTGTTCTGCAGGTGTTTCTTTCTTGGCTTGGGGTCTGGCCACCTTTGATTTGCTGGGGCGGGGGACGGGGGAGGTACTCTATTGCAGTTGTGGGGTTGCTGTTTCCTGGCAACACCCTCTCCTGTGGAAGTCATTGCTGTAGGGAACAGGTAGGACTCAGGGCCCTTGGGCCTGTTGTGGAGCAGAGAAGGTCAGGCACAGAGCATCAGCGCCTCAGATGAAAGCGCCTGAAGTTACTACAGTTACTAGTAATTGCTAGCTTAATCTGCCGAATGACCTGTTTGAGGTCATACATTTAGCACCTGCCCCAGTGTACCTGGAAAGCTCACGATCAGACGATGCTCTCTTGGACCTGTCCCGATCACTCTCAAGAGCGTCACTCTTGGGACCCGCAGGTCTGCAGTCGTGTTGCCCTTCAGCCCAGAAGTGAGCCATTTCCCCAAGGAGCCCTGGTTCCTTGGTGGAGAACAGCATCCAGAATGCCAGATCTGGGCGCTGGGTGTGGGCCTTGGGGGACAAAGCTAGGGAGGACCATTTAATACATTCTTGTAGAAGGAAGCCTGTATCGACATCTGCGTTCACATTCCCTGAAAACCATGTTTTTCACGCTGTGGGCCCAGAGACGTGGTTAACAATTGGAGTCCTCATAGGAACTCTCATTTTTATCCCCATTTTACAGATAAACAGAGGCGTGCCCAGAAGTTTAGGCTCGTAAACGATATCAAGTACAACGATATCAGTGCATCCAGGGTCAGCTTCTATGTCCAGAGCCTTCGTCTGCTGCTTCATACCTTGTGTGGAATGTCCCAGGCCCAGGAGTGATGGGGGCTGGAGACAGGGTGATGAGTGATGGCTCTACATCACTGTTTTAGAGGGGTGTTGGCAGTCTGAGGGGTTTAGGGGACCAATCTGTGGGTGCCCTTTTTCACCCTGCTGAGCTTTGTGGGGTCTGCTTATCTTTTTGTTTTTTGCGGTACGTGGGCCTCTCACTGTTGTGGCCTCTCCCGTTGCGGAGCACAGGCTCCGGACGTGCAGGCTCAGTGGCCATGGCTCATGGGCCCAGCCGCCCCGCGGCATGTGGGATCTTCCCGGACCGGGACACGAACCCGCATCCCCTGCATCGGCAGGTGGACTCCCAACCACTGTGCCACCAGGGAAGCCCCCTGTTTATCTTTATATCCAGTTCTCATTTGAACCCAAAACATTGTAGAACGAGAAATAGATAAATAAGTATTACGAAATTGGAGTTTTCTTTCTGGTGAAGTGATACCAAAATCCTTTTGTTCAATTTTATTTTTTTACGTTTGAAATCGTCAGCTGAAAATGAGAGCACGCCTATTCAGCAACTACTAGAGCATTTCCTCCGCCAGCTCCAGAGGTAAAGAGCTTTTCTAAAGGGTTTGTGCTAGGGAACACCTGAGGCGTCTTCTCTCTGGTGTCCTTGCCTCACCCCTGTCACCTGTGAAGCAGGCACCCCACCTTCACTGGGTGATGCTCAGTCGGGTCGGTGGGGCACTGCTATGTGGGAGCAGAGCTGGGAGGGCTCAAGAACACCTCCTTCACCTTCTCTGAGTCTGCACCGGTTGTCAGACGCCCTGATATAGAGTCATGGCAGGAGCCAGATGGTAGTTTTGGAATTTTCAGTGTATCCAAACTACCACAATTTTAAAGAGCATGAATTTTATTTGCTATTTTTAAGAAACAAATCTTAAAATCTGGTTAATTAAGTTTTTAACTGTGGGGGGTTTTGTTTAGAAATTGAGATTTCAGGGTTTTTCCAGTTTAAATAAAGATGTTTGTGTTTTCAGAAAAGATCCTCATGGATTTTTTGCTTTTCCTGTCACGGATGCAATTGCTCCTGGATACTCAATGATAATAAAACATCCGATGGATTTTGGCACAATGAAAGACAAAATTGTAGCTAATGAATACAAGTCAGTCACGGAATTTAAGGTAAATTCATATCAGTTCCTGACGTAGTTTTTAGGAGGTTCCATGTGTCTTCATGTCCAGTAGACACTTCGTACATCTTAGGTTGTTTCCAGTTCCAAGTTTTCGTGGGTGTTTCTATGCTGGGTTGACGTTTCGCCAACATAGAGGTTGGTTGTACTTTTCTCAGTATTTTGGTCTAGAAGCTGGCCTGTATGTTGCGTGCTAGTAGACGTGTTTCTTTTTTAAGTTACTGTTTTGGCATAAACGGACATGTTGGGTCAAGCGAGAATGTGTTCGTTTTGGCCTGGCTCCAGAATGGGTACTTTTAGAAACATAATTTTCCTTATCTTAATAACCGGGAGTTTAAATTTTTTAGGATAATAAATCTTTATGTCTCCTGAATACTCTGTTCCTAACTCCCTGTTTCTCAGCACTGGCTGTGAAAGGGAAAAATTGCTTATTGGCTTTCAGATTCGGGGGAAGTTCAAAACAAATGCTTGACAACATTGACAATAATGTCACTTAGAAAAAGGCATTAGGTTTCTTAGGTTCTGTTAACTTCGGAAAAGCTTGGCTTTTCTGTTTTTATTTACTGGAGACCTTACTTACTGAAATGGTTTGCTGACCTGCAGAAACAGCACAACAGACTAAAGGGAGGGTGGGAGAAAAGGAAAGTTCTCATAGGAAGGTCAGGCACTACTCCTGTGGGCAGGTGGTTAATGATAATCCATGTCCTAGAGGCGACCTGTCTACCTGCCTCCAGGCCCCTAGTTTGGTCACTCACCCAGTGACAAAGCCAAGACGTGTCCTCCAGAGAGTGTTCTGAACCTGTCACAGTTGGGCCTTGTGACAGAGCGACTTTATGTCCTCAGTCCCAGCCCTGGGGACACCAGCACAGTGACTTGGTAAGGACTCCAGGTGGCACACGCTGCGTTAGCAGTTGTCCATCCTGAGGTCTGACTCACCTGTGACAGGTGTACCCTAAGGAATTTGGCTAGGTGGTAAAATGCTGATATTTCCAAGCATTTACTTTTATTGTAAGTTTTTCACTAAGGCTCTTTTTTATTTTAGGGGAAAGTGTTTTTCTAATGGTACTAGAGTCACTGTCCGTAGACAGAATTTTAAATCCTATGGGAAAATCCCAGAGATAGAGGACATGCCCACCTCTCAGTTCATCCCTCTGCTTTTGCTGAAAAGAACTGGTTGTTGGTTTTTGTTCCTATTAATGTCTGAGTTCCTTCCAAAGAGAGGGAATAGGGTGGGTCAGGAAGGAAGCAGAGGGAACCAGCATTTTACTCCTGTGAAATGTGTGTATTACGTTCAGAAAGGAGTTACACACTTCAGCAAGCTTCTCACTGGAATATTTTTCATACAAGTAAAGACCAATGAACAATTATGAAAATTTCTCAGAGTTTTTAAAAAGTATTCTTTAATTACTCAGCCATAAAAAAGAATGAAATATTACCATTGGCAGCAACATGGATAAACCTAGAGACGATCATACTTAGTGAAGTGAGTCAGATAGAGACAAATGTTACACGACGTCACTTGTGGAGTGTAAAAAATGTAACAATCTATGTATAAGACAGCAACAGACTCACAGGCATAGAAAACAAACTTACAGTTACCAAAGGGGACAGGCTTGAGGGGGGAGCATAAATTTGGACTTTGGGACTAATAGTTACAGACTATTATATATAAAAAACAGATAGACAACAAGGATTTTACTACATAGAACAGGGAACTATATGCTCAATATCTTAGTAGTCCGTAGTGGAAAATAACCTGTGAAAGTTCATATAAATTAACAAAGGTTTACTCCTTGAATTAAAGAGCCAAATTGTTTTCACTCTGTTTCAGCCACTTCCGGCCTCTTGATAGAAACCTCAACTCTTTGTTGTTATCTGTGGTGTTTCAAACTTGATGCATTCTTTTTTCTTTTCAGGCAGATTTCAAACTGATGTGTGATAATGCAATGACGTACAACAGATCAGACACCGTGTACTACAAGTTAGCCAAGAAGATCCTCCACGCGGGCTTTAAGATGATGAGCAAAGTAAGGGACCCTCTAAGAGCGAGCGAGGAGCCTTGGCTGTGAGCGTCCTCCTCCACGATCCTTGTGCCTAAACAGAAGCTCACAGTGACTGACATGCTTCCATCCATCCGCCCCTGGCCACGGCGTGGGCCCTCTGCTCTAGGGTAGCCCCCCAGCCAGCCGCCCTCCCCACGCCCCTCTCCTGCAGGCGCTCTCTGCTCTCTGCTCCTGCCCCAGCTGCAGGGTCTCGCGTAGGGTTGGTGCAGAGTTCCGGACCTGTTGGTCTCACTGGGTCGCAGCCTGCGTTGCGGGCTGCTTTTACGTGGTTGCCTCTCTGAATCCAGACAGCCATCCCGGGCATCCCAGGTGGCTTCCCCGACCTCTCCTGTGAGCCAGGCTGCATGCGTCATGCATCTAGGACCAGTGCCTTGGGCCTAACCAGCCCATAGGTGAGGTGCATCCCCGCCGGCTCTGACCACTCCCGGCCAATTGGCACGCCCTTTGGTGTCGCACCCCGTGGCAGCTTAGCTGTTAGGCCAGGTGAGGCTGTGGCCACCCATCCCATCCCATCGTCATGGTGCCTTGGCCGGAGGGAGAGGTAAAGTCCCTGCTGCTCTGTCCTTTCTGATTCTAGGAGCGGCTGTTAGCTTTGAAGCGCAGCATGTCGTTTATGCAGGACATGGATTTTTCTCAGCAGGCAGCTCTTCTGGGCAGCGAAGATACAGCCGTCGAGGAGCCTGTTCCTGAAGCTGTGCCCGTACGAGTAGAAACTGCCAAGAGGTCCAAAAGGCCGAGCAGAGAAGCCGTCAGGTAAAGGGCCGCCCGCCATGGGGGCCAGGGCTCTGCGGGGAGCAGGTGGGTCTGTGCAGCTGCTGTGGACAGGCTGCCTGCGTTGCTAGTGGGAGAGTTTGCTCTTTGGAAGCCGAGGGGCCATGTTTGTAGCCCCTGGGCTTTCAGGGCCGCTGGGAAAGGCCCTGGACCCGGTGTTCGGAGGGAGGCGACCCTTGTTCCCGGCCCACCTCTGGAATGAGGTGGCTGCGGTGGGTGCAGGGAGTGTCAGAAGACCCTGAGCGCCAGGGTCAGTTGTGAGGGGCGCAGCGCTCTGCTCTGTGACCCACACTCTCCGCGTGCCAGTGCACGGTGACTTGTCCTGGAAAAGAGTCACTGTCACCCTGACAGACCCCCACCGGCTGGCCAGCCACACGCACACTCCGTTCCAGGTGTGGTTTGCCAGGCCCAGCTGTTTGGCTCTGTGGTGTCCACTGCTGACCAGTCACTGCTATTCCCACACTCATGCTCTGTGTGAATATTTGTTGACCCTTCACTCCCAAGACATGCCGTCCTGCGTAGGACGCGCATTGGCGACCTGGGCTTGCCCATTGCAGGCTCGGCGTGGGTGTGCTGATTTGGGCAGACAGCTGCGTGAGGGTGGGCTCCCCGCTCTGGTAGTTGTGAGCCTGGGCCTGAGCGAGGGCCTTCCATAGGCTCGAGAGCCTCAGGAGGGCTCACCCCAGCCCCACAGTTCCTTGCAGGGGCTCAGCACCTTTGCTTCTAGAGCCTTCCTCTGGGAGGGGGTGGGGGGCCCCTCCCTCGGGCGCTGGCCATCATCTCATCCTCCTCCA